ACGAAGCCCCCACTGCCCGCGGTCACGCAGCAGCTCGGCCGAGGGCTCGGTCTGGCTGTGGGCCCCTCTTGAGCGTCCCTGTGTTGGCACGTGGTGTGTGACCCTCGCCAGGCCAGGCCTGGGCACAGCCCCGCCCCCGCCGCCCCCCTGGTTGGCACCACCTTTCCCCGCCCATCCGGGAGAGAACCTGCCCCAATTGCCACGGAGGCCCAGATGTTCCCTTGGGGCTGGCCCTGGCCGGTGTGGCTCAGTGGGTAGAGCGTTGGTCTGCCGACTGAGGGTCCCGGGTTTGATTCCAGTCCAGGGCATGTGCCTCCATTGCAGCCCCCTGCCACCCCCCCAGGTCAGGGGCATGTGGGCGGCAGCCAGTCGATGTGTCTCTCACGTCGATGTGTCTCTCGTCTCTCCTCTCTCTACAAATCAGAACAGCCTCCGGTGAGGCTAAAAGAAAGGCGCGGTGCCCGGTGGAACGCGGTCCCCGCAGCTGTGCTCCCTTCGTGCGGGAGCCCCCCTGGGCCTGGCGGGTGGGCGGGGCGCTGCCGGCCCCTGAGCCGTGCCTTTTCTTCCCGCAGCCCCGACGAGGAGTCCTCGCAGAAGTTCATTCCCTTCGTGGGGGTGAGTTGTGCTGTGGGTGGCGGGCGGCCCTGCCCCGGGGCTCTTGCGTCCTGGCTCTGGCTGGGGCTCTGCGCTGGCAGTGGTCAGGTTGTGTCCGTCTGGTTTTGCGTTAAGTGGATTTTTCCAGAACCTTCGCCAGTCTGAGCCTTTGAATCCCTCCTGTCTTAAAGCTCGTGACCTCACGTCTAGGTGACTGCCAGGCTCCCAGGTCCTGGTGCAAGCGCATTGGGCTCGGCCTGTGGCCTGTGAGCCGCAGTCCTCCCCCTCCCCGCGCCGGGAGGAAGGGTGGCTCCGGGCCAGCCAGCTGCTCTCCCTCGGCTGCCCTGAGTTTCACAGCCCGTCGTCCACGGTGTGGCCTCCCTGGAGCATCGCCCTGAGAGCCGGAGGTACCCGGCGACGGGCCTCCCTCGGGTTGCCAAGATACCTTCACAGCTTCCCCGGGTTTTAAATATATCGCCATTGCTTGTAGGATGTCACCATCAATGAGGACAAGTAGAGGAGGTGAACACAATCCACAAGAGGCAATATCACTACTTTAGAATGAGCAGCTGTATTTTGGGGGAAAGAAAT